TGTCTGCATCAAAATAGCTAGTTCCAGCAGTGTGTAATAGGCTCTTCCTCTGCCTGTTATCCTGGTGAGACATGGAATTGGGGCTCCATTGGTGGCTTTTCATACTGGTTACATACATGTTCAACTGTGATTGTACCTACTCAGAGTTGATTAAAGTAATTGAAAGCTTTTATGAAACTCATAGTTTCCAACTTTAGGCTGCATCAATTCAGAGTTGAGGATTTTTGTCTGAGTTTGTTAAACCTGCTTATTAAAACGGACCCTTGGTTTCCTTACATAGAAAACGTTGAACCAATCTGACTGCATGATCTGGTTCAATTGTCTCTGTAAAGTTTCTTAAGGTGACATGTGGTATGAATTGCCGCTCTATAAATAAACTGATCGAATTAATATGATTGACGGTGGGTCTTCACTGGGTATGTAGTACTGATGGGACAAGAGACAGGACGAAGTAGTAATAAATTTAAACCAGCAGCTAATTCACATTTTATTTCGAATTAAGAGTCAGGAGACCAGTTGGTTAAGGAAAAATCTATACAAAAAAGCCCCCCAGATGCAATTGAAAAACAGACACAGATCTTTTCAGCAAAAAACAAAAAACAAAATGAAAAACAGCAACAGAGTCCGTATAGTAAGAAAGTTAGTATCATAATCCATTAAGTTTCAAAAAAACATGGTGTCTAAAAGTTTTGTTCCTATCAGGCTCAAAGCAAAACGCCCCAGTTTTCGAGGTGGAGAGACAGTTAGGTTAATGTTTATTAAAGGTGAAACTGCGGAGAACAGCATGGGCAACTAAGGCAGTAACCTCTGTAGGGGAAAACGTAGGTTAATGACCACGTCTATCTGAACGATGAGCGTTTGAGTCTCTAACATGGTCTTAAATTTCAGTCCATGCCACGAGAATGAGGTTGGTTACAGCAGATCGGCTGCCAACAAAGCGTGTCGGGCCCCACCCAGAGAGTCCCAGGTGTTGAAGTCCCAGAGGTTGGATGACTGGCAGGAGATCAGAACCAAACAGAGTTCAGAGGAAAGCAGGATAGTCCAGAGGGCGAAGCCGAAGCCGGTGTTGAGGACGTGCTTGGGAGCCAGAGCCAGGAAATCAGAAGTCCGAAGAGATACCGAAGGGAAGTCCAGGACCGTGTAAGGAATCAGTTCCAAATTCAGGACACAGGCAGAAATCCAGCAGGAGTCTAAAGATGGGTCAGGTAAGTAGATCAGAACAGGGACAGGCAGGCTCAAAGGTCCAGAGGCAGAATGGGTCCAGGATAAGGCAATCAGAAACACTCGGGTATGCTATATGGTGTGGGGAATATTTTCTTGGCACTCTTTGGGCCCCTTGGTACCAATTGAACATCGTTGCAACGCCACAGCCTACCTGAGTATTGTTGCTGACCATGTCCATCCCTTTATGACCACAATGTACCCAACTTCTGATGGCTA